ATAATTTAATACCTCATCTACACATAATATAATACACCAAAGGGAAAAACGGGAGCTCCATTTCAAATTTCCTGCAACGAGAGTGAAAGTAGGAAGGATATTTTGGTCTTCACAATTACTTTTTTTTATTCATTAAAAAGATACGTACTGGGATTCGAACCATGACCATTTTAAAGAAAGGCAAGGATCATAACCAATCACACTACGTACATTTGTTGTATCCTTTTAAATTAAAAACATATAATAGCAGGGTGGAAAAAACTCTTCCCCCATTTCAAATTCCCTGCTCCAGGAGCGTTTGTAGGAAGGGTAGAATAGGGAGTGTCAATTTTTTTTCTCTTTCCTCTGTGGAACGGGCCAACTTACCGTATACATGCAGATTTAAACGGGTCCAGGAGTGTCAATTTTTTTCTTTATACCCTTTTATTTCTCCGTGGTGATAAAATATATATGAAAAGGCAAAAATAATACTCCTTTTTATTGTTAAAAATAAAAAATTTAACAATAAACTAATGCATGGTATCTAATGGGCTAACCGCTAACCATAAAATAAAAGATTTGAATGGGTCTGACCTACATGGGATTTGGCCATCAAGTAAAACAAATGAACATCATTGGTTTGCCATTCTAAAACAAGCTATTTTCTCTGGTATAATATATATTATGCTATTATTTTATATCTTAGTGGCTAAAATATAATGTATTTTAAAGTTATTCAATGGTTCAACCTCGACCAACCCAATTAGTCCAATTTTTATCATTTCAAATATATATTTTATAATTATTTGACATCATAATGATCAAATTATAGTGTATTTTATAGGGAATCGTTTGGTATTTGTTACTAAAAAACTAAACATAAAGATCTATTTGGTTATTTTAAACATTAAAACGATCCTAAACATTTTCAGTTCCTTTTGAATTTCTATGGTTTTATTCCCGAATAAATGATGTGCAAATGGCGAATTGTAGTCGTCTCTTTTCTTTCACTATTTTTATTTTCAAATAGAAAGTTTAAAAGTAAAGAATAATTAGAATTTGGCATGGGTCGGTCAAACAGGCTGAATTTCAAGTTTTGGCCCGTTTGTTTTATGCATTGCAAATTTATTAGCATGTGGATGGAAATGGCTTGGAAAAAGACATATAAGTTGTACCTTTGCAGAAATGTCCTCAAATGTTTGAATGATTTGTGAATCAGGTTCCGTGACTTTTGTGATGGTGTATGTGCTTGACGATTGCTCGATGTTTTAACTACTTAATTTGAGAGTAAATCTTTTGATTTTCCCTATGAGTTGTGATACCAGTTTTGGTGGTTGCAGCATGTTGTCGTTGTTCGCCTGTAAAAGTTGTTCCGCCGTGATGCTAAATACATTTCTTTCTTTTTTAACAAATTGTGTAATAGTGCTATGAAACAGACCACCCATGAACGCTACGCTTATTATGGTCTGTTCTTACTTCCGGTGGTGAGAAATTGTGAATTGAGAATCATATTCGCCTACCGCACTGTGTCTGGATGGTGGTTGCTTACTGTGCTCTCTAGAGTTATGAAACAGACTACCCATGAACGTTACCCTTAAGAGTCCATAACTTTGCGAAAAACCAAATTTAGGCAATCAAAGGTGGTGGATGTGTGATGATTTTTTATGGCTTAATTGTTTGTGAATTGGATATCTGATCTTTGTATGATTAGAGGGGATGTTTGCTTAATAGAATAATCCATTTTAATTCATGTTTATTTTTAACATGAACTTTAGTAACTCAAAACCTTCGAGACACATATCACCTACTGCATTGTATCATTTTGCCTGGGTGCTTGCTGTGTTGTCAAACTTCTTTGTTGCTGCTGCTGCATTTACACTAACAGGGAAGTTAAGAACCCATGAATGTTTTCGTTTGACACAAACAAGAGGACTTACTTCTAAATCGTGCACTAAAGATGATTGGAGGAAACATCTCTGTTGCAGTTGATATACTGGAGACCATAACAAAAGCAACGTATAACATCAAAACCAACCATCTGAACTATTAGCATGGTTGCTTTACTCTTTTTTCGTGGTTGAGTCTCCTTCAAAAAATTTAGTTTGATTTTAGAAAATTTTGCTTCTGCAGTCCTGTCTTGCCACCAACGCGTTCAGTAGATGGAGATGGCAGAGGTGAAGGCTATTTTTGTGTTGTTGCTGGTTTAGGGATCGGTTTGTGAAGAAGAGGGAGAAGAGAGAGGGATAACTCTTTTCTCCGACAAAAATGGAGTGAAGAAAGGAATTATGATCAGTAAGGATATGGTTATCTTACATAACGGTCTCTATTCTGTTTGAATTGAGCTTGGGAGGCAGTGATAAGGACGAGCTGCAACCAATTCATAGTGATAAGAGTGCTATGAACTGTGATCATGTCTTATTTCAAGTTAGAAGGTAGTTTCAGTATAAGTATTATTTAATTTGACAAGTTGTTTCGTCCATGATTCTTGGTAGTTTCAGTGCCATTCTAGCCATTGTTTAGTCTGTAATTTTTGAGAATTGATGTGCGAGTAATGACTTTCACTTAGCTTCAACTATTATGTGTGTATTTATTGGCATGTGATAGAATTCTCTTTTCCTTTTCTTTGAATCCAGTTTCATACTCTAATTGTATCATTTGTACATAGGCAAATCATGCTCGAGATGACAACTCGCTGATATGGCTGGTGCAAGGGATGAAGTCATCATTAGAATTCAGACCGACAACGGGGAGGGATGCCCATGACTAATTCAATGATGATTGATGATGGTATAATAAAAACTGCAGTCTGCATCAGCACCAATTTCTAGGCCTAAGTAAAGTTATTCAACCCAGAACTCTGTTTAGCGCTAAAAATTGCCCTCACCCAACCTTGATCCTATTTAACCCACTTCTGAAGAGTCAAGATATATGACTAATCCTCTCCGTTCGTATTTTCTTATTGACTCTTTCTGACCCTTTAGGTTGGGGCGGGTCGGGAAGAATCAGATTAGTGGGTCGGTCCTAATCAAGTGGAATCCCAATCCCTTCACTCTCACTTGCTTTCTCTCTCATTCCACAAGTGGGTAACATACAGTAATCCGGCCAACGGGCCGGGTAATAAGCTAGTATGATATTATTTTACAAACATGTCAAACTTTACGTATAGTTAAAACTATATCATATTATCAAAGTACCTTCCTTTAACAGTAATTACTACGAGTGATCAAACGAAACGATAAATGACTGCCAAATAACCAACCTCCTCCTAGTTATTGATCCAGTATTCCTTGCATAAATGATGTGGGTCCGTTGAAAAAATTTGGCCCAAACCAAACCCATAAGAACTTTATCACAGGGCGTGGCCATTTGTGAGCTGCATTTGTTTTTGTTTTTGGCTCATGGATGGAAAACTTTGTGAACGTCTGAGAATCTCTCCTGTCCTTTTTGAAATCGATTTCCAGGGTTGAAAATGGAACCACGAAGAGATGTTTTGTAGCTTTAAATTTTTGTGACTGCTTGAGGAAGAAATGGGGGAAGTTGCAGAGTACAAATCAGGACCACTGTCGAACTTGCCAATTTCAGTTCCTCCTCGCCATTATAACTCTTTGTCTCCTATCAAATAAGAAGTAGCAACGGGGCCTTGAAATAAAAGGATATATGGTTTAGGTTACTGTACGCCACATTGAGTTTTGTGATTTAGATCATTAATTAACGGAGTTTGGGACATGATACTATATCCTAATTGTTAATGGGTGAACTCCAGTCTCTAATTTCCTAACCCAAACTATGGAATTCGTTTAATCTTAAAATGAAAATCAATGATAATTTCGACGAATCAGAATCGTTGATTTTCATTTTAAGATTAAATAAATCTCATGCTTTGGTTTAGTGAATTGGGGACTGGGATTCACCCATTAAGGGTTAGGGTATAGTATCATGTCCCAAACTCCGGTTAATTCATTGTTTAAGTAGCAAAACTCAATGGGAGCGTACGGTAGGTTAGCGTACGTCCGAGCGTATATATATAAAATAAGGATTACAGTTCATCCCCATTTTCAGGCTTTCTATGTTTCTCATGCCTGCCCTGCATATGGACCTCGCTCATCATTGTATTTACAAGCCTCTGGTTGTGGAGGAGAAAACAGAGTATGTTGGATTAGTAGGTTGGGAGAGGCTCAATCTTCAATTCTATATCAATATTTTTTTAATGCGTTTCCCCGAACGATTGTACTTCTACTCGGATTAGTTATTGAGATTTCGAGAATTCAAATCAAACAAAATTATGATTTCATATTAAAAATACGTTTAATAGTGGCGAAGAAGCCAGGACTAAGAGTGAGAAGGAGCTGAAAATATAACAAAATGCAACAAGATTTCAAGACTGAACCTAAATCTTGGAAGAGAGAGGGCAACTACTCTCATTGTACCACTTTCTGACATACTATTAAGATTCGAAAATGCATATTATAATATTGTAGTCCCTTCGAAACTACATGTACCTCGACCACTCAAATTCACCTAAATAACTCGAGTTAAAGGTTCATAAAATCTCATCATAAGTACCAGAACTCGAGTTATAGTACCAGAACTGAATCTTATAATAACTCGAGTTATAGTACCAGAACTGAATCTTATACCTAGTATTGGTATCTCAAGAGCAGAGGCTCCTATTTCCTCCTAGTACCAAATAGTTTTTGACATCGAGAGACTCAAATAATACAGAATAGTAGGGGGAAAAGGACTGAGTTAGCGAAGAGGTCAATGGTCATACACACAGAAACAGCTCTTTTTTACTTGCTCTCTTACACAAACAATATTACAATAACCATATAATACAGGACAGGACCAGCCAGAGATATCTGAGAGAATAATGTTTATTCTCCTACTTGTACCTCTTTCACCTTTTTCCCATCCAACAATCAACATTTAACCAATAAAAAAAAAAACAAATTCCACAGTGTATGCATAATAAATTAATATAATACATTAATTATCAATATCCATGTGGTTCAAATCAAATTTCTCGTTTGCTTTTATTTTGGATACATAAAGTTACTAAAACTTACAAACTAAGCCCTTGAAAACCAGTCATTGGTCAACAAAGAAAACAGAGAAAAACAGCTCTGTCTACCACAAATATATACCTTCATTTCTTGTTGCTGAAGAAAAAGAAAAAGTATATTACTCTCTTTTTTTTCTACTATAAACTCTTTCATACAGGGCTATTAGCAGCTGGGGAGAGAGAGAGGGAGAGATGGTGTTTGCTTCTCTCTTTGCATCATTTATGATCATGACTTCATCGAGATTATGACACCATTGCCTTCGCTTGTTACTTGTATGGTCAAGGGGAGTCTCTCTCATGGTGGAACATGGAAGGGGAGGGAGGGTCGTTGATTTCGAATAGCTCGGGAGGGATAGACAAGGAAGGAGAAGATGCATTGTACGGAAACAGGAAGCTGCATATGAGAGCCTCTCCGTATCAACATCCAAATGCAGAGGCCATAGCAAGTCGATTTGTTAAACCAAACACACACTACGCGGGGTCTTACAAGGTCAAGAAAAGGTCTTACAAGGTCAAGAAAAATCTTACAAAAAGAAAGAAAAAAATTTGAAAAGGTTCGTTTGTGAAGCTCAGGTAAGATAGCACCGAAATTAGCATGAGCAAGCCACGATTCTGGACCGAAAATCGACTTGCTCATCACCAGCAGCAGCCGTAGCTAGAGTGTTCCCTACAATCAAATCAAATCAGCAAGTCGATGAGTGGAGATTAGAAACGAGCCAATCGATCTCCATGGAAAAAATAGCAGTGGGGAATTTGTCTGTGGGTTGAAACCTTTCCATGTCGATAACAATCAGAAATGAGTTGTTCATTCTTTCATACCTTGCAGAAGCTCATGCCTTGCTTTCATATCTGAGACCTTTTCCCTCTCCTCCATATTGGCAGAAAATGGCAACGGACAGTAGAAAGTTAGAGAGCGAGAGAGGAATAGCAGCAGGGGAAACGAGGCAGAGAAGGAAAGAAAAAAGGTTTGGAAAAGGGAGGAAAGGGCGGAATTGGGTTTATAATGCGAAAGGAAAGGGAGCAGGTGGGCCCGTTTCACACTGGGCTGCGTTGATGGACCTGACAGTGACAGGTCCACGGCCCAGAAAGAATAAACCTCGGCTACGGGACCTCGGGAAGGGCACTTTTTCTTGTTTGCCTGGGTGTCGGCCCTTGGTTTTACGAAGGATTAATCTAAACCGTTGATTAGATTAGAAAAAATTTCTATGAGAAGAAAAATTGATAGGCGATATTTAATGGTATGAAATGGTTGAACAATGATTCAATCACGATTTCAGTATAAAATATTTTATTGTTGACTTAGCCTTTAGCCTGTACATATCAATCCTTAATTTTTACCAATGGGTTAATTTGCTATTCTATTACCTTTTTAGTTTTTACTGTATGGCTGGCCGATTTTGGCATCGACTGTACCATGAAATTGCTAAATGGCCATACCAAATCTCTAGGCTATGGACTTTCTTTCTCTCATTTGTTTTACGTCCATTTGGCCAAGCCAAGGTTGTAGTCAGGAAGAGCAGAAGGTGTTGTTGCTCTCCAAATCTTTTCCGTTTTTTTCCCCCGGTAAACGAATAAATAAAAAAATGCCCAAATGCCCATATGTCCAAGTAATGAGCTCTATCATTCAATATATCTTGAGGAAAATACATTGGTCGTTTTATATACGGGTGTTTTATTCGTGATAATTGACAAATTTCACCCAATTTAGCCATGATGTTTTCTGATTGAGACCATACATAAAAATGAGATCGCCTCAAATTGACAAGGTAATATTTATACGAGTACGTAATAGTTAATATTAAACATCATATAAGATTCATTTTGAATTTCTATGCACCATCTCATACTATATATTAAGAACATTCATGATGCTAGGTGCATATGGGTAATTGGGATGAAATTGGATACTATAATAACGATACGCGCGATAGCCCGTATCATTATTATAATTATGATGTATGCATCGTATTGACAATACTTATCGACGATTTTCATACCGGTTCAGTTTATCACTATATTCTACATGGAGTTAACCAATGATGCCATCTTACAATTAGTTTGAAGACAATACACTCCTAAACTCGATGCCCTAGCTTTTGCATTCACATGCATGGTTACTATACGTTGTTATTTCTGTCCCTTTACGTCTTTGAGAAAGTGTCTAGCTAGCCGCAAACTCTTGTGTTTTGCATGTTTAGTAGTACTTATCATCTAGAGCGCCGAATCCACATTTTGGGTTCTCACTCTTACCATCATTTATACATCTCAAGTTGATATAATCCAAACAATACAACGATTAAACTAATCTGAACAACAACCAGACAAACCTATCGCCATGCAATACATATCCCTGTTAATGAATGATATATTAATCAGAAGATTGTCGTTTCAGGATGAGACAGTTTACGGGGGAGGTTCAAGAAGACACAGAAGAATATCGGACTCCTGTTTTGGTTTTTGCTTCCAATGAGCCAAAAACATGTCAAAGAAGAGAAGAAAACAGAAGATGAGGGAGCAACAAGACTCTCGAAGTCGATACACATGTCCTCTTTCCTAACGGTTCGGGGTAGTTCGGGAGATCCGTTTGATAGTGTATGAGAGTGGTATAAGATTCATAATAATCTTATTTCAATAATTCGAGTTATTGGTACCAACTGGTTTATGATATGGTATCAGAGCTGGTTTGACCATTGATAAAGCACAAGGCATGGTGGGCCTGTGCAAATTTCAAACTCGTGTAAGAGAGTGGTATAAGATCCATAATAATCTTCTTTCAACGACTCGAGTTATTGAGACCAACTAATTTATGATAGATAGCTCATGTAGCATGTAGGAATAAACGAGATTATGCTTCAAGATTTAATCCGCAGCTTTGTTCCTTTCACGGTATATATTAGATATTTAAATTTGCTAATTTTGTGCAAGCTGGCATAAGATGTGTAGTTCAGAAGAGCAACATGTGGAAGGATCAGTGCGCTTACTAATTAGTAATTAGCTCCGAAAAACTTATATACACCTGACCAGCAGCGGAGCCACTTGGGCTCAAGAGAGGATTCCTTTGCACACTACCCTTAGAGATGATAATTTCAACCTGACTCATTTTACCTGACTTGTTTGTACAGTGTAAGTGCGGATTCGATCTGCCCTGTAGGCGGGCCGGGGCGGGCATGGATACTCTCATCGACCTGCCCTGACCCACCTCATTCTCTACCTGTTCTTGCATAAATAACATGTAATCTTAGTCAAATTACTTAGTATTTTCCTTTTGTTATATCATATTTTAGCTATAATAAATTTGTAAATTAGTGAAAACCTCAGTTTCTATGATAATTTATCTATATTTATCATTATATGGTTGTGTTCTTGGTCTTATAATAATAATAACAAATATTTCTAATGTTTTCCATATAAATGGCACACACATTGGGTTGACCTGCCCTGACCCGCAACCCATGATAAATTACCCGACTTGCCGTGGATTGGGTGTGGGTATCGAGATATTTGTCCCGGACCTGCCCTATTGCCATTCCTAACCACCATGACCCCAAAAAATGTAGTAGTAAGATTTTAATGTGATGGTTTATATTGAATATAAGATCTCCTTATTATTGTAAACAACTTTACGAAAAAATAATGCTTTCTGATGTCTATTTAATTTCTAATTAGTATAATATGTAGTTGAGATAAAGGAAACTCAAAACCGTTGTTTATGTCACGACTGTGTCTCTGTGAAACGAGAAATAGCAAGAACGATAAAGCAAGAACAAACAAAACCCACGGATTTATGCGTGGTTCATTAACAAGTGTGTGTGATAGTCTACGGATAGGAGAGAACCAATTTCACTGTATTTCGAGGAGATACATATTGCAGAGAAGTATGAGAAGTATTTATAGTATTTCGTCTCCACGTGCTCTAATCCCAATCCAATATGGTAAAGGAAAACAGTTACAACTAGACCCAAAGCAAAAATCCAAACGTGTATCGACCCTACACCATGACATCGAGTCGTAATCGGATAGTAATTCAAATCACATCAACAGTCTAACAATCTGATAAGGTACTAAGTAAAGCCAAAACCGGAAAACGGCTACATCAATGTGTGTTATGGAGTATTCTTATATCTTAAGTTCTTAACACTACTTGCCATATATGGCTTCATTAACTGTAACGAATAATCGGCATCGCCATGTCCTAATTTCCTTTCACATGTAAATATGAAACCATATATATTGTCGTTATCTTCCACGATGGAACTAAGCTAAGAGATAATAGAAGAGAATCCCATCAAATTTGGACTACGAACTAACGACAGGCTCACCCTACAACATTACGACAAATAACACGACACAAACGTACGCGTGGATTAGAAAACGAAACCTAAATCATCGTTTTGTAGTGTTGTCTCTTCTTAATTTGTGGTGGGTGCATATAATACACGTACGTAACTAATAATTATTATTTGTAAACAAATTTAGGCAGTAATAATAATAAAGTTAAGTAAGTAAGTAAGAACACTGTACACGGTCACTTCAAGAGTTAATAATTAATATTAGCAGGACGGTCCAATAAGTTCTAGAGGCGTTGTTCTATGATTCACATGTGGCGCAAATTTTTTAAGTAAAATAAAATTAAAATGATCATAATATCGTTATTGAAAATTTTAAAAAATATATGAATAAACTATTGTTTGAAATCAAAGTATACATTAACTTTTCAATTTTTGTATTCTCCTAATTGCCCTAGCTAATTTATTAAATTCTTTTTTGTCAATTTCGAACCGAACTATGACTATAGTAACACAAACAACACTTTAACAATTAGTATACATATCACGTATACATAAATACTTATATGAGAATATTGACTAATTACTAATGAGTAATCATAATATTAATTGACAGACTTAAAGCCCCATCATCATATTTATAATAATTAATTAATCTTACAACACAAGTTGAGTCTACTAGCAGGATTATTCAATGAGTCGCTGAGACCCTGTGTTCGAGCTGAAGTATGGTGAAATTTTACTAAGTATGATAAATTGGAAATGATCATAACATTCTTATTTGAACAATAATTTCATTTTTTTATTATGCGAGATATCATTCTCAATCATAAGCATCACTAATTGTTGAGGATATTAATTATTTAGTAAAAAATAATTGATTCCTTGTCTTCCAAGTCCCTTGTTTCCTTGTCCTTGTCAAAGAAGGAAACTTGGTTGTCCCTACGTCTATATAAGCTTAGCTACGGAGATTGTCGTAAGCAAGCCGTCACAATGTAGTCGTTCAATAAAACGTCATATGTGAGCTCTTCCGAGCTCACCGTGGATTAGTCTCGATCAATCAATCGATCGAGGATACCACGTAAAACTCGTTGTCCCGTGTTATTTTCAATTCCGCATCATCAAAATCTACATGGTATCAGAGCCTGGTTGTCCGTGAGGTCACGTGTTCAAGTCCTCATGACCCCCAATATTAACAGTTGTCTTTCAAGCACCTGGTATGGCGGGCCTGTGCAAACTTCAAGCCCATGAGTCGGCTTTCGTTTGAGGGGGCGTGTAAGGAAGTGGTTAAGTACCATACACGGGCCTGTATACGATAGCAAACCTCGATCTACTAGGGTTTTGTGTTTGATCTTCCGCAGTCTTCTTCCGCAATCACCATACGTCGGACATCAATTGTCTCTCCCCGGCAGCATCGACGTCATCATTCTGACGCCTTCCCTCCTGCACGGCGGAGCTTCTTCCTCTCGCAGGCGTTGTCCGCTTAGAAGTCTTGTCCGCCGGGTGTCTTCGTCAAGGTCACTTGGAATTCA